GTGCTTCAAATATGCATTGTCTTCTTCTAAGACATGGACGTATTGCATCAATTCATCAAGGCCAATTTCCCCACTTCAACGGATATAGGCAGAGGCAGTAATTATGTAAAAATACTTGCAGTTTTTCCTCTAATGTAGATACCGTGAGAGCAGGTGAGGCAGGCAGGTGATTGGCAAAGACATTGGAAGGGATATCCAGGCCCGGTCGCTCCGCCATCCCTTCTCCGGGGATCAGGGGTTCTGATTCCTCCGTCTGGGAAGCAGGAGGTGAAGACGGTTGGCTGCAGTGGCACAGGGGCTGCAATATTGCCGACCGCCAATGGGGGCCCTGGGCTTACTGTAGAAATTGAGGCCGGGGACTGAGACCCATGCAAGAAACGCCTCAATGGAGATGGCCGCGGATCACAAGGCGGCGGAGAAGGGGGCTTCCAATGCCCTATTTTCCCCATTATCGGTGGGATTATGGTGGGCTGGGTGCCAAGCTTAACTGACTCACCCGGGGACGCCTACAAGATGGCAGAGCGCTGCGTGTGAGTCGCGATTGCCAGGAGAGGAGCGGAGCTCAGCAAGAAGCGGCCATCATCCTCCCTGGCCGTGCATGCGCCCCCCGCATATTTTTATTTCATTTTACTAGGAACCTGGAAAGCATTGCACCCACGGTCAGCAGATTGCGGGTGCCATGCAGTCCGCCTGCAGACTTGTCAGCGTATATACTCTTAACTCATATGGACAGGAAGAGAGAACAAAACTACCAGAGCGCTCAACAGCACCTTGGTAGTTCATTGAGGACTACAAGTCAGTATTTGTAGTTGACAATTCACAGAACTCTGAACGAATGATGCAGCCTGGTGGGTGGAGCACTGAACAGCCATGTTTTTTTTTTTTTTTTTTAAATTGTGACATTGAGCAGGGGGAGAATCTCCCCAGCAGGGTGTCACTAGATTCAGCGGATCGGAGAGCTGTTGCAGGAGTGGGAACATGTTACATCCTAAAAATGGGTGGAACATGTAACATGTTCCCAAATTTGAACATAACCTTTAAGTTAGAATGCAGTTTGCGTTTATCCTTTAAATTAGAACTTTATTTTCTTTATAGATAGGACAATACATTATACCTGCTTGTAATCATGGCACAGGGCAAAAAACACTTTCCCCAACATCATTTGTTTTTTCTTTTTACAAAAGACACAATACTAATTCAAATGGGTGAATAAATGCAGGCATGGGAGAACAAATGACTGAAGACTTCACAAAATTAATAGCTGGAGACAAATGTGGAGATACATTTCTCATGTGTTCATCCCATCACAAGGTCCGGGATAAATCCCCTGCTCACATTTGTTCCAGAAAGAGTAGTTTGTTGCCTTCTGAGGGGCTAGAAATATCAGAGATTGGTTTACTATAGGTGTACTGTACATATACATGGGAACACGGGTTCAGGTTTTAGGAATTGATCTACTACATAGCTTTGTAGTGGAGAAATGTTTTGATGTGCTGAACATGTGCGTGCCACAGAGAATGATCTATTATACTGTATGTGAGAAGGGACAACCACTAATTAACTACCTTATGACTTTATGGGGCCAACGTAATTATCTGGACCAGGACATTTAAATCTTTTGTTTTTACTATGTCCACTTCAAAGTACGTGTGCAATGGGGATGGCCATCTGTCCAGGGATGCACAGTTTTCCCAGGCTATGACCTTACATATGTATATATTATTTGGGGTAGAATTACCGTATTTTTCACCATATAAGACGCACTTTTTCTTTCCCAAAACGGGGGGGGGAAAGTTGGTGCGTCTTATACGACGAATAGAGAGAATCCGTGAGGCGCGGCCATGGCTGTAGGAAAGGCCGCGGCTTTGGCCTATCTCTGGAGCGGTCAGCCATCTTAGTACACCCGGCGGTGCGCGCTGACGTCATCACCCCGTCTGCTTGTGGATCCTACCATAGCACGGATCTACAACAACAGGTGAGGAGCGGGGCAATGCAATGTTACTGGGTATTATTACTATGTTGGGGGCAATGTTGCACTGGAACAGTGATGGTAATGACGAGTGGGGGGCAATGGTGGACTTTACAGTGATGAGTGGGGGCAATGGTGGACATTACGTGATGAGTGGGGGCAATGGTGGACATTACGTGATGAGTGGGGGCAATGGTGGACATTACGTGATGAGTGGGGGCAATGGTGGATGATGTATTAAACAAAAAGACAAAACGTATGTTTGTCTTGTTGTTTTTTTTACTGATCCGAAAAAGATCCGATCCGTGACTCCTGATCCGTGGAACGATCCGAACCGTGAGTTCTTTCATTTCTGGATTTCTTGCAGCAAATTACCGTTACCGTACCTCCTTTTCAAGATGTCTAAGCAGAAGAGACTGGCATATAAAGTTGCTTTCAAGTTAGAAGTAATCAAATTTGCTAAGGAGCATGGAAACAGAGCAGCGGAGAGACACTTCGGGCCACCTCCAGCTGAGAAAATGATGAGAGTGGAGGAAACAGGAGGATCAGCTCCAAAAGTTGGATAAAAGCAAGCACACCTTACGTGGACCAACTGCAAAGTGGCCAGAATTAGAGGTAGAAGTGAAGGAGTGGATCACACATTACCGGCAAAATGGACTTTCTGTGTCAGGAATGGACTTGCCAGTAATGGTGGGACTCACCTGCCTTGTGGGCTGCAGTACCAGGGCTGGCCAACGGGTGCTCCCAGCAATCAGAGACTCAACCCTGCAGCCAGCCAAACACCTGAAACTGCTTATGCAGGTGTATTTAAGTGATGGCCAGACCTGCAGTCTTTGCCTTGGTGTGTGTGTTTTTCCTGGGCCCTGTATCTTGTTCCTGCATTCCTGTCCCTGTTCCTGTCCTTGTCTTGTTGCTGACCCTGCTTGATCCTGACCTCTGCTGACTTCTCCTGTTCTGATCCCTGGCTTGTGACCCCGACCATTCTCTGCCTGACCCCCTGTACCTACGTGCCTGTTAGTTGCTGTACCCGGCTCGTGACCTGACTACTCTCTGCCTGCTCCCCCTGTTCCTACCTGCCCGTTTGTTATTGACCCGGCCTGCCTGACGATGCTTGCATTGTATGTATAGTTATCTGTGGGTAGTTTGGTTTGTTTGCACTGTGTTATGTTTTAGTATTGCACTGCGTTTATGTATTGTTAGTGTTAATAAATCGTATTGTTTATACATATCTGAAGCCTGCGTTTCCCTGCGTCAGTCACATACCTCTGGTCATACCCTGGAGCGCTGACATTACACCAAGGCCATCCTGACCAGAAGTGGCTGCACAGGGAAGCCATCTTGGCTTGTTGCTGGGAAGGATGGATCTTGACGAGGTTGTGTATTGTCGCTGCTGGTTTTTGATGACAGAGCCTGATAGGCATATTTCTGAGGGAGTATACCCGGGATCAACTGCTAGAATGTATACGGATCGCTCATGTTCTAGTAGATCAGGGCACAGAGTTCTCTGAGGTGCAACCTTTGATTCAGGTTTGTGTAGAGTTGGCTTCATCTGGTACCCCTGAAAGCAGGAATGACTTTTTGCCACCATTTAGTGCAGACCAGGTAGAGTCCCTGGTATGGTTATTAGAGGATGATGTGGATTGCTTCTTGGAGCATTATGCTGCATGTTCACCACAGGTATTAAGGGATTGTATAAACGCAGTGCAGTCTTTGGTCAGACAGGCTTTGTGTAAGCTGAGCTTTGTTCAACCCATACTGCAGACATGGACAGACTTGCTGCACCCAGCCTCAGTCAGCTTACAAAAACCCAGTCCTGCTTCTAATCTATTTCCTCAACGCTCTATTCCTGCATTCCCAACAGCAGCCCAGCCCCAGCCCAGTATACCCTGCTATCTACCGCATGTCAGTACCCTGTTCCCACTCGCTGCACCTATCCTGCCTTTAACCCTGTAAAGAAGCCCGCTGTAGCAACTGCTCCCTCCCCTGTTCCATCCTCCAGCTCTTCTCTGTCCTCAGCTGCTCCATTCGTTTGCAGACCTGCATTTACTTGCAGTGCTCCAGTAGTTAAAACCAGAAAAAAGCGAAAATTCTTTCCAACCAGTACCATCCTGCCAGTATCCAAACCGGTGAACCTGCCTTCCGTGGTTCAGCCTGATGCCTCTACTGAGCCTGATGCTCCTATCATGCCTGATGACCCAGTGCCCACTGTCGAGCCAGACAATCCAATGCCTGATGACCCAGTGCCTGCTGTCATGCCTGGTGACCCGATGCCCGCTGTCGAGCCAGACGATCCAGCGCCAGATGACCCAGTGCCCGCTGTCCATCCAGACAATCCGGTACCTGATGACCCAGTGCCTGCTGTCATGCCTGGTGACCCGATGCCCACTGCCGAGCCAGACAATCCAACACCAAATGACCCGGTGCCCGCTGTCGATCCAGACGATCCGGTACCTGATGACCCGATGCCCGCTGTCGAGCCAGACGATCCAATGCCTGATGACCCAGTGCCCACTGTCATGCCTGGTGACCCGGTGCCCGTTGTCGAGCCAGACGATCCAGCGCCACATGACCCGGTGCCCGCTGTCGTGCCAATTGACTCAGAGCCCACTGTTGTGCCTGGTGACTCGGTGCCCACTGCCTTGCCAGATGACGCGGTGCCCGCTGGCGAGCCAAATGACCTGATGCCTGGTGACCCGATGCCTGCTGTCGAGCCAGACGATCCAATGTCTGACCCAGTGCCCGCAGTCATGCCTGTGACTCGGAGCCCACTGTCGTGCCTGGTGACTCGGTGCCCACTGCCTTGCCAGATGACCTGATGCCTGGTGACCCAGTGCCCGCTGTCATACCTGGTGACCCAATGCCCGCTGTCGAGCCAGACGATCCAGCGCCACATGACTCGGTGCCTGCTGTCGAGCCAGACGATCCGGTACCTGATGACCCGGTGCCCGCTGTCGTGCCAATTGACTCAGAGCCCACTGGCGTGCCTGGTGACTCGGTGCCCACTGCCTTGCCAGACGACGCGGTGCCCGCTGTCGAGCCAAATGACCTGATGCCTGGTGACCCAATGCCCGCTGTCCAGCCAGACGATCCAATGTCTGACCCAGTGCCCGCAGTCATGCCAGTTAACTCGGAGCCCACTGCCGTGCCTGGTGACTCGGTGCCCACTGGCGAGCCAAATGACCTGATGCCTGGTGACTCGATGCCCGCTGTCGTGCCTGATGGCCCAGTGCCTGCCGCCCCGCCTGGGGGCCCGAGACCTGACGCTCCGCCTGGGGGTTTGGCGCCCACCGCTTCGCCCGGTGATCCAATGTGCCGCTGCCCGGAGTCCAGCCCGGTGTGCCGCTGCCCAGAGTCCAGCCCGGTGTGCCGCTGCCCAGAGTCCAGCCCGGTGTGCCGCTGCCCAGAGTCCAGCCCGGTGTGCCGCTGCCCAGAGTCCAGCCCGGTGTGCCGCTGCCCAGAGTCCAGCCCGGTGTGCCGCTGCCCAGAGTCCTGCCCGGTGTGCCAGTCCTTGATATCCCGCCAGTTACCAGACCCGGGCGGTAGACCATTTTACCCAGCTTGGACTGTTTGGAGCGTCCTGAGGCCGCTCCTTGAGGGGGGGGTACTGTCAGGAATGGACTTGCCAGTAATGGTGGGACTCACCAGCCTTGTGGGCTGCAGTACCAGGGCTGTCCAGCGGGTGCTCCCAGTAATCAGAGACTCAACCCTGCAGCCAGCCAAACACCTGAAACTGCTTATGCAGGTGTATTTAAGTGATGGCCAGACCTGCAGTCTTTGCCTTGGTGTGTGTGTTTTTCCTGGGCCCTGTATCTTGTTCCTGCATTCCTGTCCCTGTTCCTGTCTTGTTGCTGACCCTGCTTGATCCTGACCTCTGCTGACTTCTCCTGTTCTGATACCTGGCTTGTGACCCCGACCATTCTCTGCCTGACCCCCTGTACCTACCTGCCTGTTAGTTTCAGTACCCTGCTCGTGACCTGACTACTCTCTGCCTGCTCCTCCTGTTCCTACCTGCCCGTTTGTTATTGACCCGGCCTGCCTGACGATGCTTGCATTGTATGTATAGTTATCCGTGGGTGGTTTGGTTTGTTTGCACTGTGTTATGTTTTAGTATTGCACTGCGTTTATGTATGGTTAGTGTTAATAAATCGTATTGTTTATACATATCTGAAGCCTGCGTTTCCCTGCGTCAGTCACATACCTCTGGTCATACCCTGGAGCCCTGACATTCTGTCTCAACAAAAAATGATAATCTATGAGGCCAAACGCATTGCTGTGGAGAAAAGGCATTCAGGATTTCATTGGATCACCATCGTGGTGCTATAGATTTATGAAGAGATCTGGCCTTTCTATGCGCACCAAAACCAGAATTGCACAAAAAATGCCAAAGGAATACGAATCAAAGATTCTATCTTTTCATAAGTTTGTTATTGATGCGAGGAAGAAGAACAACTTTGAAATTAGCCAGATTAGGAACATGGATGAAGTCCCGCTAACGTTTGATGTACCATCTAACAGAACCGTAGATATCAAAAGGAGCCAAAACCATAACCGTAAAAACTTCAGGGCATGAGAAAACCCACTACACGGTTGTGCTGTCCTGCTGTGCAGATGGTACCAAACTGCCTCCGATGTTGTTTCTTTTGGGAATGTTTTCCTTTTAAAGATCAATTCCATGGGGAGTCGTCGTGCACGTTCATGATAAAGGGTGGATGGACGAAAATGTCATGAGGCTGTGGATTGACAAAGTGTGGTCCAAACGTCCTGACGGGCTTCTGAAGAAATCTTCCTTGTTGGTGCTTGACCAGTTCAGAGCACACTTTACGGAAACTACTAAAAAGAACTTTAAGAAAGTTAAGACCCAAATAGCTGTGATTCCTGGTGGTCTTACCAGCCAACTGCAACCTCTGGATGTTTCCATTAACAAACCGTTCAAAGTTCTGATGCGAGAGGTGTGGAACACCTGGATGGCAGCTGGGAACCATGATCTGACGTCTACTGGGCGGATGAAGAGGCCCACTATTACACAAGTGTGTGAATGGGTTAAAAGGTCATGGGACTCCGTGAAGGAAGATATTGTTGTAAAATCATTCAAGAAGTGTGGCATTAGTAATGCCTTGGATGGAACAGAAGACAACGTCTTATTTGACACCAGTGAGAAAGAAAATGACGACAATGACTGCGTGGATCTGTCCTTCCTCATTTCTGATAGCAGCGAAGAAGAGGAATTATTCGGGTTTGAATAAAAACATTACAGCCTTATTTTTGTTACTTTCACTGTTTACTGACTGTTGAGAGTAAAGATAGTTCTTAATATGATACATGGTTGGCATAAAATTGTTCTTAAACTGCTGTTAACTTTATACAGTTGATATAAAATATTTTACTACAGTATTGGGTTCAGAATCTTTTTTTTCTAGATTTTCCTCCTTTAAAATTGGGTGCGTCTTATATTCCGGAGCATCTTATATGGCAAAAAATATGGTAACACTTATGTATAGATAGACCGGTGTTCCCAAACGTCAAAACTATACCTTCACCCCCAAACGTTCACAGTTTTAAAATCACTTTTGGTGTCTCAATGTCCTATATCACCACTAGTGTACACCAAAACATATAATCTTCTTATTCAGTGTTCTTCCTGCATATGTGAAATCTTTCATATTCACTTGTCACACTCATAAAATAAGAAAATATAACCACACAGCGCATTATCCACAATATGCGGATATAAAAACAGAAAAAAAAAATATTGCAAACTAGTGCAAAAACCACTCCACCATGTGTCCACTTCAAAAAAACATCTATAATCTTTACTATTACCCTAAAATTGGCTTGAACATAGCCTTAACCACTTCACGTCCGGACACTTACCCCCTTCCTGTTCAGACCAATTTTTTAGCTTTCAGTGCTATCACACCTTGAATGACAGTTGAATGGTCATGCAACACTGTACCCATATTAATTTAGCTTTTTTTTTTTTTTTTGACAGATAAGTTTATTTTGGTGGTATTTATTCAGAGATTTTTATTTTTTTTGCTATACAAATGAAAAAGTCCAGACATTTAAGGGTTTTTCTTATAAAATTTAATATAACTTAGTGACCAAGATTTATTATGTATTCAGTTATCGTTTTAGTAAAAAAAAAAACACACAAATTAGTTTATAATCAACTATAAATTTGAAAATTTATATTTTGTTTTTTTCCCTTTTAAGCATCCTGTCACTCTAGCAGTACAGTGTGACCATAGTGACACTAAAAAACTTCATCACCCCTCACAAGTAGTAATTTTTTTTTACACCCATAAAGGCTGTAAAAGCACTAATTTCTCCTTCTGGCTGCATTCTTGCAGCCATTGAGAAATACTGTGAGCTGTGATTGGTCACAGCTTGTCACATGGTACAAGGCTGTTGTGAATAGCTTTTTACCATGTGACCTCAGTGATCATTCACAGACTTTACACGTAGTAAGCAATGGATGTCAGAAATGACTCCATTTGTAGATTGTATTGGCTTGGTAAAGAGCTTGTAGTGGGCAATTGTCCATCAACTGATTTATCACCTGTGAGGTCCTCTGTGCAGGTTAAGGATATAGAACACCATAAAAATAATGGATCCAGAAATCCAACTAAGGGGGAAGAAAGGAGAGGTCCCCAAATCCACTGTCAGGGACAAAGGAACAATGGTGTACCCTATAAAAAAATATGGGGAGAGGAGATACTGGATATTACCATAGCCGCTAGGGATTTAGAGGGCAAGAGGAACCCAGATAACAATATAATGTCTGTGCACAATAGATTTCAACCATTAGAGGGCTGGAGGAAGGATAACTAGAATTATGGAAGAAGCCCTAGAATGAGTGGAGGGAACCATATTAAGTTTGTTTTCAGAGGGAATACAGAGGAAGACCACCGGGACCTCCGCTCAGGACCCCAAATCAAAATCAGGGATGGGGAAGGGGAGGGCCCAGGATTAACAATATCAATACAAGATGGAGGGACCCAGAGAGCAATTTCAAAATCTAAGGGAGGAAGAAATGACCTACAGATCGAGTCCAGAAAGAGGAATGCAGAGGGAGGGAGGAAGGAAAAAAAGGGAGAGAAAACAAGAGATGACAAAAAGGAAACTTAGGTGAGGGAATATATAACCTTAGCTCTGCCTCATCAGATAAAGAAATTAGAGTATTAGATCGGGGTTTGAAATTTGCACCCAAGTCAAAATTTGAATAAGTTTCAGATGTTCATTAAATCTCAAATATATCAGAAAACTGAATTTAAAGAAGTATTTTTTGTCCTTGCCAGGGCCTACTAATTCTGCTAATAAAAATGGGACTCCTTGTGAATTCAGAGTGGTTTGAAAAACAGATCCGCTTTTAATCCGAATCAGAATGTGGAGGTTTTTAATCAGATGGTCGGTAGTGATCTTCGGGAACTTTAGATTTGGAAAAATTGGCTGATAAGAATATTATTCGCCCAGCAAATAAAGGGGGAGGAGTGGTCCTTTTCGATAGGAGAGACTGTGAGATGGAGATGAACAGAATTTTAAGTGAAGATACATATGTCAAATTTAAAGGCAACCCCACTAAAAAGATTTAAAAAACAACTTACCAATATAGTTATGGAGGCCAAAGATTTAAAAATCATCAATGAGAAGAAAGATAAATAGTTGATCCGTTCTAGCTGTAGGGTTCCAGTATTTTATTATTTGCCGAAGATTCATAAAAGTCTTAAATCCCCCCCCCCCCCCGGCGGACCGATTGTTAGCGGTATAGGTTCTGTGCACTCCAGAATTGGAGGATACATAGACATTTTTGCAACCTGTAGTGACGAAAATGCCAGCCTACTTGAAAGATGGACAAGTAGTAATTGAATTGGTAGAAAATATGGAGATTACACATTATACTAGGCACCATAGATGTAAAGTCATTGTACACGAGTATTAAACATGAAGATGGGATCAGTGCAGTGAAATGGGCCCTCATGGAATATACTAAGATTCATAGGAAAAAGGAAAATTTATTATCCAATTATTGGCGTTTGGTATGTACAACTATTTCCGATATGGAGGAGATTTCTACATCCAAAGAAAAAAGGTGTGGCTATGGGTGCAAAGTTTGCTCCAAGTTTAGCAAATATTTTCATGGCTAGGTGGGAACATGCTGAGATTTTTGGACAGGAATGGAAAGGGTTAAAAACAAAGAATTATCAATGATATCCTATTCATTTTGGAGGGTGACATGGAATCACTGAAATTATTTTGAGACACATTTAAAATAATCCATATGGACTAGAATTCTCGCAAACTATGGATGAAAAAGAAAAAAAAAAAAAATTTGGTAAACTTTATCTATGCATTTTCTACGTAAAGGGTAAACTGTATACTAAAACATTTTAAGGCCACCAATCGGAATGGATTCATCCCTACATCGGGTGGTCATCACCCACAGTGGATTCAGGGAGTGCCTAAAAAGGACAATGTTGTAGGATTAAGAGGAA